TGGACAGAGACCCACCCCACCTTGATCCTTTGCGATCGTCAGTCTCTCCCATGCAACAAGGTGAAATTTGGAGTGATTATCTTCTGCTCCCCAGACGAAGTCTCTGGCAATCTTGTCGATACTCCTGCGCACACCACTAGGAATCAGTTCTGTATGCATCGTATAGACGGGCAAGGAAGCAGTCACCAATTTAGCGACTGTGAGTCTAGCTGCAAAGGATAAACGTTTCACTTTCCAAGGTGCCATCTTTTTTTGTATGCGCAGAATAAGGGATTGGTATCTCCCTCTGGTGACGCTCTCTTGGATTGCATGAATGCCGAGATATCTCTCGATAGCATCTTTCAAAGGAATCCCCGCACACGTGCTCAAGTGCTCGGCTTTATAACGATAAACATTCGGGGAGACATAGAGAATGGATTTGTTATAGTTGACCCGTTGACCCGAGCTATAACAAAAGTCATCTAGGCACTGCTTAATGACTCGGATCTGTCTCCTTTCCGCCTCTGCAAACAATAAAAGATCATATGCAAAAAAAAAAGGTGAGTTAGTGGCGGGCCGACATTGGTTAGCCGCACAGCTTTCCATTGTCCATTATTAACCGCCTCATCAATCCTATGAGATAATCTCTCCATACAAAGCACGAAAAGGTAAGGAGAAAGGGGGTCTCCCTGACGAACTCCACGGGACGGAGTGATCGAGGGTCGGGTTGTGGTCCGACTGGTAGTGCGACAAGTGTAACACCGACGAGTTGGGGAAGGCTGTATTCCAACGGAGATTGCATAGAATCCTGTCCAAGCAGCTAGCTTTGTAAGTGTGGCTTTGTTCTCCTATTGACCAGGTAAATTTAGGACCAGAGAACCCTAGTTCAACTAGCTCCGCAAAGTGAAGTCTCTCGGTGAATAGTTGACATCTCTTTAGCATGTTCCTCGCAGGAGGTCCCGATTTCTCCTCCGGTTTGCTAATGGCGTTAAAATCCTCTGTGAGCAGCCAAGGCATATCAATGAATTTGCTATAGGAAATAAGCCTTTCCCAAAGATGTCGTTGGTCCCTCTGCAGCGGTGAGGCGTACACCACAATCAACATCTACGGAGGATCGCTTGCTCTGTTCACTTGCAAAGAAAGGAGCTGCGAACAGGATGAATAAGGTTGCACCGAGAAAACTCTTCCATCCCAGAAAACTCACACACCACCTGTCCGGCCCTCGGCTTACTCCCAAAAAGAATTAGGGAACCCCAGCTTGTCGCACACCGCGTTGGCTGACTCGCCGCTCATTTGGGGCTCTAGCTGCACCACGAAGTCCGGGCGGTGAGTCTGAATTGTTAGCTTCAGCGCACGACAGAAAGCTCTGCTTCCCGCGCCTCCAACGTTCCACGCAAACACTTTTAACTTAGGATTCATCGACATACAAATTAAAAAGGATACCCAACAGAAAGAGGGAGGGGCGAGGAGAAATCTCTGAGCTCGGGGAACTTCCATCGCGCCTTGAAGACCTCCGCGTCGTCCAGGCCGCTCGCCGGCTTCGAAAGATCATCCAGTTCAGCCAGATCCGCCGCCCTATCTCCATTTGTTGGTAGCTTTGCTGCCTCAGTCCAGGCATTTATTTCTTGCAGAGTCAGCAATGCCATTCGAGCTTTGGATTTGGGTTTCCTTTCTTTCACCGGTGACCAAATTTGAAGGGGTTTATTCGGATTCAGCTTGATGGGCGATCTGTTTTTTCCTTGCGCTTTCTTGCTTTTGCTTTGTTTTGCTCTTGCCGATAAAGAGGGGATGGGATCGGGGATCATATTGTAGTTTTCTTTTGATGTTTGGAGATTTTCAACAATGTGCATCACCGTTCTGTTTGGTCCCGTAACAGTCCGTAACACAGGTAGCTGGGGGGAGACCCTTGATTCTTTGTTGGGCTTGCAGCCCATTAACATCCCCTGGCGCAATCGGTGAAGCCAGCTGGTACGGGCTAGGGTCGATCTGCAGGGCTGAGGGCGAAGCCCCATCACTTGCCGCGGGTTTCGACCTAGCTACTACGGAGGTACCCGAGCTGGGCCCCGGCCCAAGGAGCCCTTTCCCTTTCCCCCCAGCCTCGTTAATCACCTTCTCTTTCCCTTTCTTTGCGTCGTCTCCACTCTTTTTCCCGTTTGTCGCTTTCCTTTCTTGACCCGTGTTTCGTTGAGATAGGGAACCGTTGGAGATTGTCACAGAAGGTAATGTCGCTTTCCTTTCCGCTGCACCTCCCTAGAATTCCGCCGGGCTTTCCTTTTTACTAGCATCCACGGCCCGAAACCCGGGGTGGAGTCCTCCGGCGGGGGTGACGATCTAGTCGATGGTAGAGCACCGAAGACGTCCACAAGAGCTAACGAGACACTAGTACTGTTTTGCGGGCATGTTCCGGAGCTATGCCCGATCTTCCCGCACTTGAAGCATACCTCTGGAAGGTTTTCGTACTCGACCTTTTACAATTCATCGCCAAGCCAAATGCTAGGAACTAGAGGCTTCGAAATGTCGACCTCCACCGCTAACTGAGCAAATTTAGCTCGTTGTTGAGTGAGAGTATGATAATCTAGTTTGATAGTTCGTCCGATGAGATTCCCCAAAGTAGTTAACACCTCCTTATGATAGAAGTGGATTTTCAGAGCTGTGAGCTGAACCCAAACGATCATGATCTTGGGTAGAGGATCAGATGCCTTAAACTTTGGAGTCCATTGTTGGACGACCAAGAAGTGATCATATATAACCCACAGTCCATCTGTCAGGGCACGGAAGTAGTCTTGCTCGCTCTCCAACTTCACTAGAAAGCAGTCGTGATCCAGGTCCTTGACCTCCATGGCACCCACCGGACGCCATAAGCTTTTAAGCCGATTGCACAAGGTGACAAAACCAATCCGCAGCCCAAGCAGCCGAATCACGAGAGTTCTTTGCCAGGGCGCGCAAATCTTTGCTTTGAATTCAGCTGAGACTGTCTGAGCCGGTTCCCCATTCCGATCTCCTGTCACTAGGTCATGTTCACCCACCGGGGTCCATCGATGCTCCTGGCTCAGAGTTGTCGCCATCTACGGCAACCCCATATCCGCCTTAGCGTAGGAAAAAACCGGGTCGGTTGCCGTCTCTGTTGTTTGTCCCGATTGCGCCGCCGCTACTGGAACCCGGCTCTCCTGTTACTGCACAATCAACAAAGAAGAATCAATAGCCATATCCGACAAACTGGTAGCCTGATCCATGTTCAACGTTAAAGGATTACAAACGTTAGCCGCCGGAGGGCTAAGGGTGTCAGGCGGATGTTCAGAGGGTAGAAGAGCCGGCGTCGGAGCCGAGATTCCGCCAATATCTGTTGAGAGCATTTTGTTAACTAGGAAACGCGGATTACAACATGATACTAATATAATCTATTGAACATCAAACAACATGACAACATCTTAGAATGGAGTTACTTACTTACTCCACATGACGCGTTGTAATTACACCACTCTCCAATTGTTTCATAAGTGGTAGTGGCAACTGGCGAGTAATGCTTATATTTTGCTAACAAAAGTTATCCGACCTAGGATTGTGATGCACCGGGTCGGGAAGCTGCTGTTTTGAGCTAGACATTCGTACTTGTAAAATTATATTTGTAACACTATACAAACCTGTTGGTTGTTGGACATGTATAATGACGACTTATATTGTAGTCATAATGATGAAAATTTATAACATGATTATCATTAATTGACGTGGCGCTTCAATGCAATACAATCAAAAGTCGTTACTCAAATACAAAAATTATTCTCTTGATAAACACAAGTTTACTAAATGGAATAAAATGTGATTTGATTCATCCTTATCAAAGGTTAATGTTAATAACCCCCTTCAAAACTTTATCGATTTCGACTGTCCATTGATTATGGTACTTCTTATGTTCATTGTTCAGCTAACAATTGACAAAAAGAAGTTAAAAATCTAACAGTAGCTTTGGAAAAAAGAATTCATAACAAACAGCTTGTACCCACCCAGTGAGTTATCCTCTTATGCCGTGTTATGAACCAAATCATTTTATGCCGTGTTATTCATAGTTCATTTTTCCTTCACTCACAGTCACAGAATTTCTTGCTTTAATTTGGATCGGCGACGAGAGAACCATAAGAAGAAAAAAAAAAAAACGAAATGGGATTAAACCAGATTAGAACTCAGATAGAGCAACCGTACGTAATCAAACAAACGAGAATAAAATGGCGATTTAGGGAATTGATAAATGATAATGAAGACAAAAAAACCACTACTATGAAAATTAATAAAAAACTGAGTCATGGTTTTGGGTAGGGGTGGGCATTGGGTGGGTTGGGTGGATTTTGACCATAAAATGCACCCACCCGCGCTTAAACGGATTGATAATTTTTAACCCACCACCCACCCACATTTAGTCTCGGGTTGGGTCGGGCGGATGGTGGATGATGCGGGTGGGTTTGTGGGTTCATCCACATCACAATGTATATAATATAAAGGAGTCAACTTGACATGATAATAGGTGAAGAGAGTTATCGGGGGAAACAAGAAGATGAAATAGGGCGAAAAATGTCGAATTAGTTCTTGAATTGGATAGAAATTTTATTATGAAAGAGTTTTCTACAGATTGAGATGATTATCAGGTGCAAGGAACTAAGGAAAATAATTATACAAAGGAAAGAGCGGTGATGTAGGCACAAGAATTAGAGGAAAAAATAAAGGGAAGAAGAGGAGATCGATATTTGGAAGGTTGGCTTTGAGGTTCAAACTCCAGGAGCAGTCCTAGTTTATGTCTAACGTCTCCACTCTCCCCTCTCTAGCGCCAACGACTTTGATCTTTTTTGTTGTTGGGTTGAGCGGGTCACCCGCGCACCCACCCACAACCCATCCACCACCCGGCGGATGGCTCCCAGCGCAATCCGTCACCCACCCACAAATCCACCCATTTAACAAAATTCGGGTCAAATGCGGGTGAGTCGGCCCAAACCCGCGGATGATCCGCCCGCATGCCCAGCCCTAGTTTTGGGTTTCTGTTCAATCGCATTCACTTCTTCTTCCCCACAAAAAAAGCGCATTCCCTTCTGTCAAAGGCAGTCCATAAATATTATTATTCTAGAAGAGAAAAAGCACAAGGAAAATGAGAGAAGAAAATCACGCTAATACAAATTACAATACAACGATGATGGATGGCCGCAAGCTTTGAGAGTCCGCCGGTGGCTTCACTTTCCTACCTTCCTTCCCCCCCCTCTCTCTGTTTCTCTCTCTACTTCGCCGCCGGCCAGCGACTTTTCCGTGCCTCCGTCCATGGAAACTATCAATTAATCCCTTCAGTTTAAAAATATATATATGCTGGAAGTAGGATCACGGCTCCCAATTCCCGCATCATTTTTTAATTCCCCCCCTCCCAAACAACAAAACCCTGAAATTCTTCGAATTTCCCTCGAACCCCTCAAATTTTTGTCCACCGCGTGTGTGAGAGAGAAAGAAAGAGCGGGTTCTCTGGGGGAGGGGGGTTTTAGGTGGATCGAATTTCGAATCCCACTACCCATGTCAAGGAATTCGTAGAAGTTTATTTCTTTCCTCCATCTGGGTTGATTCTGGGAATTTTGATCTGGGTTAGATTTCAGGGGAGGAATAGCCAGAAGAAACAAAAAAAAAAATGTTCTGTAAAATGATCCTTCTGCATCACAAGAAGAAGACCGGTACGGTGCCGGTGTATCTGAATGTTTACGATCTGACTCCCATGAATGGCTACGCTTACTGGGTCGGCCTCGGCATCTACCATTCTGGTGTCCAAGGTTAGACAATTTCCCTCCATTTACGCTATATGGTTTTGTGTTGTTCAGGTTTTTCATGTAACGTAGATTAGCTTAGATCTGCGGCTAGTTTCTGCAATTACTGATTGGGTTCTTGGCGTTTATCTTGATCTGGTGTGATGAGGAAAGGGGGATTTGTTGGCTTTCGTGTGGATGATGAATTGATGATTCATGAACTTGACGTATTGCAGAGAAATTAAGAATGAAGTTTCGAGGGAGGACCGGTGAGGTGGGAAATTTGTTAATAGATTATTTGCTTTTGTCAGCAGTCAAAATGTCTGCGGGGGTGATCTTTGGTTTAGTTAGTAGTAGGAAAAGTCAGCGAAGAATTGAAATTATGGGTTGTTTAACCAGTCAATTAATCAGTCATTGTCCATGTTGTATTGGTTTCAGCTGAGCCATGGAGTCAACTGGTTAGGTGGGATTTTGATTGTTATTGTTTATTTGAACTTTCCTCTTCTGTTTTGGCTATTCCAGATTGACTGGAGTAGTTAGGTTCCTTCTATGTCATTGCTTTTCCAATTTTGAATAACAATAGCTGTAGCTTCTCGTGATTTTAGTTCATCTTCATCCTTAACTGTGGTGGGCTTGCAGCAATAACTCTGTGAAATGTTATTTCTGAGCATTATGTTCTGTTCTTAACTTCATTTGCTGTTGGTTTGATCTGTAAGCTGGGAAAGTTTAGGACTTTATGGTGAATACTAATAATGTGTTGTTTGTAGTTCATGGAGTTGAGTATGGTTTTGGAGCTCATGACCATTCAACGACAGGGATTTTCGAGGTCGAACCAAAGCAGTGCCCTGGTTTCACTTTCAGGAAATCAATACTCATCGGAAGAACTGATCTGGGTCCTAAGGAAGTTCGGTCGATGATGGAGAAAATGGCACAAGAGTATTCTGGGAATACCTACCATCTCATCACCAAGAACTGCAATCACTTCTGTAATGATGTGTGTCTCAAGTTAACTGGGAAAACAATCCCTAGTTGGGTCAACCGACTTGCTTGTTTAGGTATGAGAAATTTCCTTAGCATACCTACCTGGCTAATTTGCTATTCTGCATTCATGAGCAAGTCGTGATAGTTTGATTTTTAACTAAATGAGGCAACTGAAGGGCCAATTGAAATTTTGAAACTGGTGAAGTATACTTTTATCTGTGTACCGCTGGAAAATGCATGGTATTTGTTAGAAATCTAATACACCTCTGCACTTTAGCATTGGTTTGCAGCACAGTTGGTCAAAGTTGCTGTCTTTTGTAGCATCATTGCTTTTTCAAACATTATCTGCTTACTTTTCCTTTCTCATTTTGATGATAAGAAATCTACGAATGAAGAATGTTGTTTCTTTTGCTGCTGATTATGGCGGTTTCTTTTTGAAGGACCAACCTTTCAGTAGGAATATTGTTTCTTTTGCTGCTGAATATAGTTGAATGGTTCCATTGGTTATGCTCGATAAAGAGCAATTGCTTATGCCTTCATTTGTTGTGCATGTCTTCAACACAAAGCAAACCAGAAATCATATGCTAATCGCGTCTTGAATATCATTCATTTCTTTTCCCAGAGAAAGCAGATCAGGAACAACATCTAATGTGCTTGATGGGTTGTTGGATAAATTTACAGGTTTCCTGTGTAACTGTGTCCTTCCAGCAGAGCTGAATGGGGCTAAAGTCAGGCAAGTTAGGTCAGATGCCAGGACGCAGCAGCAAGTAGAGAAGAAGAAGTTAAGGAGCCGCTCGAGTAGATTTGCATCCACCACACCCACTACATTAACAAAAAACTGCTCGGGTTCCGAAATCAGACGGGGTACTGGAAACAGCATATGAGTTGATGGTCTTGATGCTCTAACTGGAACTGGACAGGGTTGGTTTTCTCAATTTCCATGTTTAGGGTGTTACATAGATTTTTCACAGAAGAGAATCCAATCGACCTATAGATAGGGAAAAGAAAAAGAACCCAGACTTCTCATGTTTATCCCTGCCGTGCCTTGCAATCATGTTCGGTGGGTTCTGGGAACTGCTGCTTTAGAAGTTTGTTTGTTGCAGCATTTCCGGGGTTTCTTTGGTTTCTTGTATAAAATGAAAAGAGGCTTCTTCTTCTTCTTCTTCTTCTTCTTCTTCTTCCTTGTTCATCCAAAAATGACAACTTCTTCTACTTCTTCTTCAAAAATGACAAAGCATTTCCTGAACCTATGGTGAGTTGGTCTTGAAGGTGAGGGGCCAAAAAGAAAGGTTACAACGTCTTGCTTTAAGATTTAGCCTTTGTATAAGAAGGTAAAGTAGAAGGAAGTGGTTGCCTAATTTGCAAGCATTCTGGATTCGTTAGAGACTAGGTTCATCCCCCCAACCACTATAGATTCTATGCTGAGGAAGAACGCGAATTTCTATAGTGTTTGTGTGACATGTAGCCTGTACTGTAAGAGTTGTTTCCAAAGTTGGTATAGAAAGGACAAAAAGGAATACCAAGCTTCTTTTAATAATGCCTTGCACTGTGGTATGTATACAAGAGGAGTTCTACTCCTTCATTCATGCTTCCTTTTGTTTTCTTTAGTTTCCTTTTTGTTCATGCTTATTCAAAAGGACAAAGAGGAATACTAGTGGCTGTTGGTTGGTTAGTTATCGGTGATATCCATGCAATAGTGCCTGTTGTTATGTAAGTTAACTACAGAGGGACTAGAAATTCAAAGAGAAGCCCCAAAGACGATGATGAGCAAGGTGATCAGAATATGAGAACTAAAAAATCATATGAGAAACCTTTTTCTTTGATAAATATGTGGAGAAACTTATTCATTGTTTCATGGAAATTGGCTTAGAAGTTTTGGAAAATAGTTAAATCCGTTTAGTTTTTTAGCAAAGTAGACAATAACTTATAAGGATTCGGTGACCTTATGGGGATAGAGTGATTCAAATCTTAAAAAAAAAAAAAACAAGAGGAGCTCTCTCCTCTCTCCTCCATCTTTGCTTTCAGCTAGGGCGACTCCTCCTTGGTATGGCTAAAGCTATTCTAAAGGCTAGCCTAGCCAACCAAAGGATATCGGAGACGCATAGGCAACTCTCTAGTAAGGCAAATTCGCAAGTTTTGGTGGTTCGACGGCGATGGGAGAATGGCCACGCCTCGTCTGGGAATGACTGGACGATGAATCGATCCGCGAACAGGATCGGAAAGAGGACGCTTGTTCTACTCCTCACCAATGAAGTCGCACCGGGGTTAATTAAATCCAAAAGGTTGCGCACAACATGAAAGGAAGGCTAGAGATTCCGGCTACCTTCGTCGATTGAAATTGAACCGGAAGATCTGGGAAAAAACATGATCCCTGTGGCACAAGATTGCCTTTTAAGCGAAGAAAGTTCGCAAATCGTCCGAAATGGGCCAAGTCCAGGTCCTGGTTCTATTCCGATGTTTGAAATTGATTCACTGAAGAAGAAGGCTCCTATGGGCGCACAACCGCGCGTTGATTTTTGGGTGGTGGCCGCCGGCAATGGCTCCTCTGTTCTGCGAGTTCGAGCTAGCCGATGTGGCAGTGCTAGGGATCTCGGGCATATCCTGATCCTGGATTCTGCGGTGAGGATTGGGGGATTATTCTCTCTCCATACCTGCCAACGGACTCCTAATCCCACCCCTATACGAACTGAGAGAGTCCTGAAACGGGTTAACCGGACTTTGTTTGGAGGAGTACAGAGCTCTTGCGGCTATTTAACCAACCGTCACCAATCTTATACTCTCACTTTTCGGAAAGAGTTGATTGCGGCGGCGAATAGAATAGCAACCTCCCCCAAGCACTGTGCTCACCCAGGTACTCCCCCTATTGTTTGCTCCATCCCTATCCCGTCTTGTTCTGCTGAACCAGTATTGAGCACGTCTTCCTTTTTCGTGTGGTCCTTGGCTGGGTCCGGAATTGCTGGGACACGAACGAGACATAAGGGCTCTCTGGGACTGAAGTAATAATCACATTGACTTCCATATTTTGATGCAGATTGAAAAAATGAACCGCATTGCACAAGACCAAGTAGTCCAATTTTTGCTGGATGAGATTCAATCGGACAAGATTCGAAGATCGCGATCTCTCCTGGGGCGCTTGTTCACTGGATGCACCATTATGCCTAATGAGCTGCGCGACGAGCTAAACTATCCTTGGCAAGGACATGGGAGGATCAAGGTGCTGCTAGCGAAACATGGATTATTCGAGTTCATCCTTCCGAATGAGTCCGCAAAAAATTGGGTGCTGAAACAAACTCCTTGGGTGATCAAAGAGAAGCTACTGAACCTAAGAGCATGGACACCGAATGTCAACAAAAGGACCTTCGACGAGATGGCTATAGCCCCGTTTCGATTTTAATTATGGGATGTCCAGGAAGAATGTTGCACCCAACAGTTCGGTCTCAAAGTGGCCTCTTCCACTCTTGGCCGCGTCCTAGAAACTGGAATCTTCACGTGCCCTGACACGAGACAATGGTTCATCAAGACGAAGGTCCTCATTGATTTCTCCCAGGCTCTTCGATCTCAGATCATGGTCTCAAACGAAGAGACTGGTTGTTTCTGGATCAGCCTCAAGTATGAACACTTGCCGAGCTTTTGCTTCAACTGTGGCCGAGTTGGCCATTTTCTTCGCGACTGCGTGTTCGATCCACCGGCAAGAAAAGAAAAGTTCGGCCCCCATATGTCGACCAAGAAGCTAGGAACGAAGGTGTATGAGGATGCTAAGGAGAACTTTCCGTATAATGGAATGGCCAAGTCTGTTTGGGTGAGCAAAGAACTTTATGGTCACAAGAACCCACCTGCGCCTCACTCTCGTCGGTCGGATCGCGGGGAGGATTCAGGGATGCGACCTGTGCAAACTCAAGAGAAGGATACTAGCCCTCTATGGATGGGCTCCTCCTCTCAGCCGTTACTGACTGTGGAACCAACGTTGAAGAAGAAGAAAGCAAGTCCTCTTCACTTCCTGATTCTTAAGGCGCCGGCGTTACAGATTGGTCGACAAAATCTTAGCCAATCTGCTCGAAAGGGCACTCGTGCTAGCCAGCCTTTGAGCGGGAAGACTCACTCGCGGGCTGATTCAAATGGGGGAAGAAGACTGCGGAAAGCCAACAACAAGGATCGAAATGATTCTCGTGAGACCCATGTGATTGGCGAATCGGGAATATGGGTCGAACCTGCTGTCCCCAACCTGGATAATGCCCGAAGCTCAATGGAAGTCCTATTGAACTAGTCGCGTCGCCGATGTTTGATTCTGGAAGAGGAATCAAGGATGATTTCCCTGTTGCTGCTCCTCCCCCAACTCTAGTGAACAAGCCGGCTAGTGGCGGCGATTGGGACTCTCATGTGAAGGGGAAGAACGTCCCTGCTTCCCTGAACCAGGGCCGAGCGAAGGCCAAGGCCCAGTCTCAGCCCGCTAAGGTGGCCAAGCCCAGCAACAAGCCCAATAAGCAGCCTGAACGCCAGAAGGGTGGTGGGCGGGCCAAGTCCTCGCGAGCCCAGCAGGAAGAAACAGGCCGAATTGTGGAGGAGTCTTTGGCAGGGGAAGAAGCGCTGGATGTCCCACCATCGAGGTCTTACCCGCCTCCTAGCCCAGACCCGATGGAGCATCTGGATTTGGAGGTGACTCTGTCTACTGACGAGGAACCCATTTTTGAAATCAAACGCCGTTCACCACCGCTGAGACACAATAAGAACTGAACATGGTGGAGAGGGTAGATTCGCTTCCTATTCCCCGGAATGTTACACCTGAAATCAATGCTAGCCTCACTGCTGCAGTCCTTCCAACCGAAGTTAGACAAACGGTTTTCTCGATGGGGTCAAAACATGCGCCTGGCTCTAATGGGTTCACAGGGAAGTTCTTTAAGGATTTTTGGGACATTGTTGGTGATTCAGTGATTGTTGCGGTCTGCTCTTTCTTTTCTTCGAGTAAGATGCTCCGCAGCTTCAATCATACTTGGCTGACATTGATCCCTAAAGTGGATAACGTGGAATCCATGAGACAACTTCGTCCTATAAGTTTATGCCAATTTGTGTACAAAATCATAACGAAAATCATGGCTGAGCGTTTGGCTGGTCTTTTGCCACTTATAATCTTGGAAGGCCAGAATGCTTTCATCCGAGAACGGCAAATTGTAGAAAATATTCTCCTGGGGCATGAGTTAATGCATTACCTAAAAATCAAGACGCAAGGTAAGAAAGGGTACATGGCCCTTAAGGTTGACATGTAAAAGGCCTATGATAGGGTCGAATGGCCGTTTCTCCTTACTGTTTTGGAAAATATGGGTTTTAACTCAACCTGGAGGGGTTGGATTCATGAATGCCTCCGTTCCACTTTGTTTTCAGGTCATGATGAATGGCACACCATCCGGGTTCTTTGCCCCATCCAGAGGTCTTCGACAGGGGGATCCTTTATCGCCCCTGGTGTTAGTGCTCTGTACAGAGGGATTCGCTGCTCTCATTAAGAAAGCTATCTCTGAACGCAAACTAGAGGGAGTAAAAGTGGCTCCCAGGGCTCCCTGTATCTCACATTTATTCTTTGTAGATGATTCTTACTTATTTCTCAGAGGGTCTCTCTAGGAATGTGAGAATCTCCTGGAAGTTTGAATGAATATGAGGAACTTAGTGGACAGAGGGTGAACTTGGCTAAATCTGCGGTATGCTTTGGTAAGAATATTGCAGTACAAGATCAAGAGTTCTTGGCCCAAATTATGGGAGTGGGGGTGGTAGGGGTTCATGATAAATATTTTGGCCTCCCTATGCTAATAGCCTGGTCTAAGATGTCTACGTTTCGCTACCTCGAGGAGAAGCTTCTGGACAAACTTCAGGGGTGGAAACGAAGGACGTTATCATGGGCCGCTAAGGAGACATTGATTAAATCCATAGCCCTAGCGCTGTCGTTGCATGTAATGTCCTATTTTCGTTTACCTCTGTCTCTCTGTAGGTTGTTAGATAAGCATGTGGCTAGGTTCTGGTGGGGTGTTGAGGATGGACAGTCTCGTATTAGCTGGATGTCCTGGCACAATATGTGCAGGAGTAAGCATGATGGGGGGATGGGTTTCCTTCATTTAGAGCATTTTAATCAAGCTCTCTTGGCTAAACTTGGCTGGAGGATTCTTAATGAACCCCAATCACTTTTGGCCCAAGTCTATAAAGGGAAGTATTTTCCCAATGGAACATTCCTCACCGCTACGGCTCGCTCTCGCCCTTCCTGGGGATGGCAAAGCATCCTTTTTGGAAGGGAACTATTGCATATGGGCT